ACGCCTAGGGATTGACCCCAGGGCCTTGTGCATGCAAGGCAAGCTCTCGACCCCTGAGCCCCATCCCCAGCCCTCTTTTGTATTTTATTGAGAGTCAGGGTCTCCCTGAGTTGCTTAGGGCCTCACTGTTGCGGAGTCTGGCCTCTACCTTGTGATCCTCCTGCCTCAGCCTCAGCCATGCAGCTGCAATGTCAGGTGGGGGCCGCCTGGCCCTGCTCATTATATTTATCTTCATGGTGATCGTGGACAGTGATTTGCAGATCAAAGGTCCAAGTGAGAGGCTGAGTGAAATGGGGACAGGGCTCTTGGAAGTTCTGTGGCTAGTTTCACTTTTAGTCTTGCAGACTGTGCTTCCAAAAACAAGTTTTTAAGAATAGCCATTTGGGCTGGGCTGGGGCTGGGAGGCAGAGCCCGCCTAGCAGGAGTGAGGCCCAGACTCCACCCTCAGCTCCAAGGACACAAATATGAAAAGGGACCAAGGGATCCTGTCCACCTCCAACCAAAGATATATTTAAAAAAAAAAAAAAGAAGAAGAAGAAGAATTGCTGTTTGCAGGATGTCTCCTTGGGAGGAAGGAAGCCACCTCGGGTCGCTTCCAGGGTGACCCGCAGCGCTGGCCTCCTGCTCCGGGCCTCAGCTGCAGCCCTGCTGTGGGGCTGTGGCTGTCTGTCCCCTGGGCTCTGTTTTGGTGACGTCATCCTTGCCTTGGCGATCTGTCAGCCTGATTCTGTTGTCCATTTTCCTGTCGCCCGGGACTGCCCACCTGCCACCAGCCGTGGCAGGTCCCRGGAAAAGGACTTCAAAGAAGCCTGAGGACCTGGGTCAGCCGAGTCAGGGGACCTGCAGCTGCGTGCGTCCCCCCCCTCCCCCGCACAGGTGGCCTTGACTCTGTGACTTTCGCCAGACAGACAGAAGGTGGCCCTCCGTGCTCCCTGAGGCTTAGGASTCAAGATGGCTTGCTTCTCCTGCTGGCCTTCTGAGGCTGCCTTGTCTCAGGGTGGAGGCCTGCGGGGGTTAATTTTTTCCAGTATTTGAATGTCCCCTGACCTAGGTCATAACCCCCCACTATTTTTTTTTTTCTACCAGGGAATGAACCCAGGGGCCCTCGACGGCTGCGCCCCATCCCCAGCCCTTTTCATATTTTATTAGAGACAGGGTCTTGCTGAGTTGCCTGAGGCTGGCCTCCACCTTGCGATCCTCCTGCCTCAGCCTCCACAGCTGCTGTGGCTGGGTCTTAACTGGCCGTTTTCTTACTCTGAACGTCCACTGGAATATATTTCCCTTTCAGGGAAATGGAACGCCTCCCTCCTGCCAAGATGGTGCGAGCGTTCATCTGTCCCCGTTTTTGGGCCCTTTGCACTGTGCCACCTGTCCTGGGAGACACTCCCCACAGGAGGCTGGGGACCGTGTGCGGAGC